GAACTGGTCCAACTTGAATTAATACAAAATATATTAAGATAGTATATTGCCTATCTAGCAATAAATGAGAGTTGAAGAAAGGTGGAACACGAACAGGGATAATATTGGGTGAAAGACAGGGTTTCAGGATTTGTTTGGTATTATAAATATGTTGTCAGGACTATTTTCACAAGGAGGGGCTTTTTAACAGTAGCTTTGAAGTGGTAGGCAGATAGGGAATACCTCAAGTATTCATGAAGGATGTTCCATGGGTCAACACCCCCAGTCCATGGCCACGTCTCATAATGGATCAGGGCCTGATCAACCAGCCTGTTACTGCCAGCTGTACACAATCCAGTTTACAAACCACAGCCCAGCTGGTCAGGTACTGACTAGGTATCTATCCAGCTTCCTCCTGAAGACTGTTAGGGGTCTACTGGTAATCCCCCTTATGTATATGGGAGGCAGTTGAATAGCCTTGGGCCCCTGATACTTACTGTGTTATCTTCGGAACATCTGGAATCTTAAGGGAAAGTTTCAGATTTTAGGTCCTTTTAAGTACACTGAGTTTTTTGTAGTCATACAGGTACAGGAATACAAGAGTACAATTAACATGCCTAGTAATATACATGTATGTGTAAATTACCTAGGATAACCCCCCAAAAAAAGTCAGGCAAATGACTAATTCCATTAGGGGTATTACTGAAAGAATTCAAATTTGGGTGGGAGATGACAAAAGTTGTGTCTGCTGATAAGAACAGGTCTACGTTATTAAGATGCACTTGGAAGATAATAATAATAATAATAATAATAATAATAATAATAATAAAAGTAATAATAATAATAATAATAATACTTTATTCCAGCAAGATACAATGTTTGTACAAAGGTGAAACACATTTAGGTGTGCATGAAGAAAGCCCCTTAATATGCAGAGCATTCCAGACTAACTTAAGATGAATAAGGCAATGACAATTTGAGTAATTTTATACATACAGTCTCTCAGGTGAGTGTAAGTATAAATTTAAGAGTTACAATGAATACAAGAGAATTGCATGTCCTATTAGTTCATGCTATATGGCTTTTATCAAGTTTAATTGTTATGGAATTACAGGTTTGATTATGACTTTATGCAGATGCATGTTGTAGCCAAGCTATTAACATAGGTTGGATGGATGAAGAGATTATTGAGAGCATTAGATAATATAGTTAACAAAGAATGAATTGAGTGACATTTAACATACAGTTCGGTATGTAAGTTTATAATTACAGCAATTACCCGCACATAAAGAGAGAAGGCTTACGTCACGTTTGGTTTTCACTTGAATTGATCAAGTCGGTTCAGTTGACATGATAAGTGTCGTAGGAGCTAGCTTTCTCTTTATAGTGCGGGTTGTTGATGTATCGTTCGTAACAGATGTTGTGCCATTTATAATATGGTTATGTAGTTTTCACATGTTTAGCTGATGTTTATTAGGGATATATTAGGGATATATTAATGGAAATTTTGAAAATGCTGGCTGAGACAGTGGCTCTGGTGCTTTTTGGCAAAGTTTCAGATTTTAGGCCCTTTTATGCACACTGAAATTTTAGAGAGATTTAACCAGACACGAGAAATGTCAAATATTTGTACCTGATGCATATGAAAAAAAAGCAGAGGGCCAAGAGCACTGCCTTGGGACACTCCTATGTTGATAAGGTTGCACTGATGAGATGATGCCCTTGATGGAGAGATATTGGTGTCATCAACTGGGAGGCCTGGTTGATCAGGTCATCAACTGGGAAATCTAGTTGGCCAGGTCATTAACCAGGCCTGATTGACCAGGTCATCAACCAGGAGACCTGGTTGACCAGGTCATCAACTGGGAGGTCTCATTGACCAGGTCATCAATCAAGAGGCCTGGATGACCAGGTCATCAATCAAGAGGCCTGGATGACCAGGTCATCAACCAAGAGGCCTGGTTGACCAGGTCATCAATTGGGAGACCTGGTTGACCAGATCATTAACCAGGAGGCCTGGTTCATCAGGTCAACAAGGTCATCAACCAGGAGGCCTGGTTGGCCAGGTCATTGACCAGGAGACCTGGTTAACCAGGTCATCAACTGGAAGGCCTGATTGACCAGGTCATCAGTCAAGAGGCCTCGATGACCAGGTCATCAGTCAAGAGGCCTCGATGACCAGGTCATCAACCAAGAGGCCTGGTTGACCAGGTCATCAACTGGGAGACCTGGTTGACCAGATCATTAACCAGGAGGCCTGGTTCATCAGGACATCAACTGGGAGGCCTGGTTGACCAAGTCATCAACTGGGAGGCCTGGTTGACTAGGTCATCAACTAAGGGGCCTGGCTGACCAGGTCATCAACAAGGAGGCCTAGTTGACCAGGTCAACAACCGGGAGATCTGGTCGACCAGGTCATCAACCGGGAGATCTAGTTGACCAGGTCATCAACTGGGAGGCATAATTCACCAGGTCAACAACTGGGAAGCCTATGTGGCCAGGTCAAAAACCAGGAGGCCTAGTTGGCCAGGTCAACAACTGGGATGCATAGTTGGCCGGTCAACAACCGGGAGGCTTACATAGCCAGGTCAACAACCGGGAGGCCTAGTTGGCCAGGTCAACAAACAGGAGGCCTAGTTGGCCAGGTCAACAAGCGAGAGGCCTAGTTGGCCAGGTCAACAACCGGGAGGTCTAGTTGGCCAGGTCAACAACTGGGAGGCCTAGTTGACCAGGTCAACAACCGGGAGGCCTAGTTGGCCAGGTCAACAACCGAGAGGCCTAGTTGGCCAGGTCAACAACCGGGAGGCCTAGTTGGCCAGGTCAACAACCGGGAGGCCTAGTTGGCCAGGTCAACAACTGGGAGGCCTAGTTGGCCAGGTCAACAACCCAGAGGCCTAGTTGGCCAGGTCAACAACTGGGAGGCCTAGTTGGCCAGGTCAACAACCAGGAGGCCTAGTTGGCCAGGTCAACAACTGGGAGGCCTAGTTGGCCAGGTCAACAACCGAGAGGCCTAGTTGGCCAGGTCAACAACCGGGAGGCCTAGTTGGCCAGGTCAACAACCAGGAGGCCTAGTTGGCCAGGTCAACAACCAGGAGGCCTACATGGCCAGGTCAACAACTGGGAGATCTAGTTGGCCATGTCAACAACTGGGAAGCCTACATGGCCAGGTCAACAACCGAGAGGCCTAGTTGGCCAGGTCAACAACAGGGAGGAATAGTTGGCCAGGTCAACAACCGGGAGGCCTAGTTGGCCAGGTCAACAACCGGGAGTCCTAGTTGGCCAGGTCAACAACCGGGAGGCCTACATGGCCAGGTCAACAACTGGGAGGCCTAGTTGGCCAGGTCAACAACCGAGAGGCCTAGTTGGCCAGGTAAACAACCAGGAGGCCTAGTTGGCCAGGTCAACCGGGAGGCCTACATGGCCAGGTCAACAATAGGGAGGCCTACATGGCCAGGACAACAGCCAGGAGGCCTATATGGCCAGGTCAACAACCGGGAGGCCTAGTTGGCCAGGTCAACAACTGGGAGGCCTACATGGCCAGGTCAACCGGAAGGCCTACATGGCCAGGTCAACAACCGGGAGGCCTACGTGGCCAAGTCAACCGGGAGGCCTACATGGCCAGTTCAACAACTGGGAGGCCTACATGGCCAGGTCAACAACCAGGAGGCCTAGTTGGCCAAGTCAACCGGGAGGCCTAGTTGGCCAAGTCAACCGGGAGGCCTACATGGCCAGGTCAACCTGGAGGCCTACATGGCTAGGTCAACAACCAGGAGGCCTATATGGCAAGGTCAACAACCAGGAGGCCTAGTTGGCTAGGTCAACAACTGGGAGGCCTATATGGCCAGGTCAACTGGGAGGCCTACATGGCCAGATCAACAACCAGGAGGCCTACATGGCAAGGTCAACTGGGAGGCCTACATGGCCAGGTCAACAACCGGGAGGCCTACATGGCCAGTTCAGCAACCGGGAGGCCTACATGGCCAGTTCAACAACCGGGAGGCCTACATGGCCAGGTCAACAACCGGGAGGCCTACATGGCCAGTTCAACAACCGGGAGGCCTACATGGCCAGGTCAACAACCGGGAGGCCTACATGGCCAGTTCAACAACCGGGAGGCCTACATGGCCTATTCAACAACCGGGAGGCCTACATGGCCAGTTCAGCAACCGGGAGGCCTACATGGCCAGTTCAACAACCGGGAGGCCTACATGGCCAGGTCAACAACCGGAGGCCTACATGGCCAGATCAACAAAACCCGGGAGGCCTACATGGCCAGGTCAACAACCGGGAGGCCTACATGGCCAGGTCAACAACCGGGAGGCCTACATGGCCAGTTCAACAACCGGGAGGCCTACATGGCCTATTCAACAACAGGGAGGCCTACATGGCCAGTTCAACAACCGGGAGGCCTACATGGCCAGTTCAACAACCAGGAGGGCTACATGGCCAGTTCAACAACCGGAAGGCCTACATGGCCAGGTCAACAACCGGGAGGCCTACATGGCCAGTTCAACAACCGGGAGGCCTACATGGCCAGTTCACAACCGGGAGGCCTACATGGCCAGATCAAAAACCGGGAGGCATACATGGCCAGGTCAACAACCGGGAGGCCTACATGGCCAGTTCAACAACCGGGAGGCCTACATGGCCAGTTCAACAACCGGGAGGCCTACATGGCCAGTTCAACAACCGGGAGGCCTACATGGCCAGATCAACAACCGGGAGGCCTACATGGCCAGATCAACAACCGGGAGGCCTACATGGCCAGATCAACCGGGAGGCCTACATGGCCAGATCAACAACGGGAGGCCTACATGGCCAGATCAACAACCGGGAGGCCTACATGGCCAGATCAACAACCGGGAGGCCTACATGGCCAGATCAACAACCGGGAGGCCTACATGGCCAGATCAACAACCGGAGGCCTACATGGCCAGATCAACAACCGGGAGTGTTCCAAGGTTAAGTAGCCATTAGGAATTTTATTAAGTAGAAAAAATAATACAGACTCACCGTCATACCTTACTTATCAGTACATTCTTCAGGGATTCGCCAAAGTTCTGATTTTTCCGAGGAAATGATCAAAATCGCTGTGAGTCAAACAACAAACTTGTTGTTGTTTGTGTAATGGTTTGTAGGGCCACTGACGATGCGCACCATCTGGCGACCTACCACCCACTTCGCGGAAAATGGGCCCCATCTGTGCGAAGGGGAAAAAAGGGAAAAGGCATCACTTAATAATTAAGGAAGTATTACAAAGACAGGTCTTTATGGTCATTTACTGTTTTTCGGTGTAATCAGTAGTAAATTTGGTGTATTTTGTTAGGTATATGAAGTTTAATTAAAAAAGTTTTTTGGGGTCACGGGTTTTGACATTTTTTGGTACAATAAGGGAGTACATATATGAGATACATTTTATGAGAACAATTTTTCAGTTTTTATTTAGTTGGGGGGTGAGAAAAGTGTTTTTTTGAAAAGGGGACTTGCATAGTTTTTCATTTGTGTTTTTGGGACAGGGAGGTAAAACAAAAAGAGGGATCTTTTTGTCTTGTTGTGGTAGGGTGTCCTGTTTGGGGTTGGTGAGGAAAAAGTTTGATTGGTGGTTATATTTGCGGGTTTTGTTCTGTGTATTTTGTAGGAACATAAAATAAGTATGGATGTTTTTAAATGGGAGCAGATTCAGATTTTAAAAATTGGTGAAGTAGGGTGGGGGATTTAGGAATTTGTTATCATTTTACTGCTGCTTTTGAGGGGTTTTTTAAAGGGGTTTTAGGTGATGGATGTTGTTGCCCCCATGCACAAATTCCATATGTAAGAAAAGGGTTTATGAGTAAATTGGTTATAGTCCCAGGAGAGCTGATTTTTGTAACGTGTCCCTTTATTTTTATTTATGTTTACAGTTTGGAGATTTTTTTGGGGGATTTGTTGTAGGTGTGTCCGGAACTTAAGGAAACTGTTAAAGGTGGTTTACCTGGGAATTTTCCCAAACTTGGTTTGTAAATGATGTTCCTTTTAGGTTATGTTTAATTGGATCTTTTGCAGTTTGTTTCCCAAAACTGAAGGGAAATAGGTTTATCAGTTTTTCGGGTTTAAGTTTTTTTGTCTTCATAAAGGGTTTAGATATTTTCTGTTTTTTTCGGCTTTGATTGGGGTTTGCTGGGATGACTGGTTTGGGGGGGAAAAAATAATATTTAGTGTCACCTGAAAAATTAATATGGGTTTTGGGTTAGCTGTGTTTGCATTGGGTTTAAAATCATTGATGAAATATGAAAAAGGGAGTGGTCCAAGGACTTTTCCTTGTGGGCCCTTTTACTGTGATTGGTTGGGTGGGGGGAGTTTGCCATTTGAACACATTTTGGGTTTTGTTTTAAAGGGTTTGTTGGGGGAAAAGGGGGTCTCTGATACCATAGTGCTTTAATTTGGAGTAGGGGGGTTTTAAATGGTCGCCCGATCAAAAAGTTTTAAACGTAAATCAATTAAAAGGGCCCACGGGACTTCTTTTAGGTCAGGACACATACATATGTTACTTTAAAAAATTTTTACATATAATCTTTTTATACCAGGGAATAGCGATTCAGTTTTGGTAGTAGAAAACAAAACCGTATTAAAATTGGTACTTTGGGGAAGGGGGAGTGACTTTTTTTAGTTTCTTTTTTTTTTGAAAAAAACCGACGTATACTTTTGAATTTTTATAACCTGTAGTTACCGCGGTCGCAATATACCAACGAGAAAAGCAAAAAATTAAAAAGGGAAAAAGCGTCCTTCCTCCAAAATTTTCCAACCAGTCAATTTATAGTGATAATATAGCACTTATTGTGGTGGAGACAAAAAAAACCCTAAAAAAAGCTATTTAAAGCGTTTTGATAAAAAAGGGGTTTTGAGGTCGACCGTTCGTTTTGTAGGAGCGGCCAGCAATCCCCGGGCCCTTTCAAAGGGCAAGTTATACTTTTGTATCAATCAAATAAATTTATTACTCGGGTAGATAATTTCCCAGTGGGACCCCTTCATGTTTTAAACCCCAAAAATCACCGTCAGTTTTTTTAAATAGTGACCCAAATTGTTTAAATAGACTGGTCAAAAACCCTTTTAAATGGTCCAAACCCCTTTTGGATGGCCGAACCCTGACGGGTTTCCAAACCCTTGACTGGTCAGAACCCTTGATGGTCCAAACCCCTCGACTGGCCCAAAAACCCTTAAATTTTCCGAATTTGATTGGTTTCAAACGGATTCTTTGGACAAAAAAGAAAGACTGAAAGGGGGGGGTTGTAGGCCCCTTTTATAAAACACAAACAATTTTTTTAAAAGGAAGTACACCGGGTAAGCGGGGTCCAATATACAATTTCAGTTAGAAAATAGAAATACAAATAGCTAGAGCTTCTTTTTAAGGAGGTTTTTAAATAGAGTATTAAAGAGGTTGCTAGTAGTTTTACTTTTAAATAACCATTCAACTCATTATAAAAAGCTTGTGTGGGTCTGCGGTCAATAAAAAAAAAGGGGAACTTCCGCGGGAAAAAAATTTGCCATTTTTTGGAAATTGGTGTCACGCCCCTTGTGAAAATACCCAAAGGAACTGTAAAAAGCAGAATTAAAACAGGGAAGTGTTTTTGGGTACCCCAAAATTTGAGAAAATTCTGTGGCCCAAAAAATCAAAAGGGTATTAGAAGGGGATAAACCCAAAAGCTGGCTTTCATAGAAAACCTGGAAGCTTTTTAAACGTTGGGAAAAAAAAAAGTTTGGGGCGGGAATGGTACTCCCCTTGATACTGGCATGTGTCAGAAAATGTAAGGCTGGAGGGTGATGCCCTGGTAGTCGTAAATGTGGGGCTGAAGCCCTGCCCTGGGAGACAGAAATTGGTGAAGTTGGAGGTGCGGGTCCTGGGAAAAAGGGGCAAGGGTTTGAAGCTGGAGGTGCTTTTATGGGAGGTATTGGGGTTAAAGCTGGAGGTGCTGTCCTGGGAGAATTAAGGTGAAGTTTGGAGGTGCTGTTAGGGGAAGCAGTAATGGTAAAGCTGGGGTGCTTTTCCTGGGGGACATTAATGGTGAAGTGGAGGTGCTGCCCTTTGGGAGCAGAAATGGTGAAGAATTGGAGGTGCTGTCCTGGGGGACAGTAATGGTGAAGCTGGAGGTCTGTTTTGGGAGCAGAAAAGGGGGAAGCTGGGGGTTTTTGGGTTTTTTGCCCTAGGAGACGAAATGGTAAAATTGGAGGTTTGCTGTTTGGGAGACAGAAAATGGTAAAATTGGGGTGCGGCCCTGGGGGGACAGTAAGGGTTGAAGCTGGAGGAAACTGCCCTGGGAGACAGTAATGGTGAAGTGGAGGGGGCTGTCCTGGGGTGACAGAAGGGTTTAAAGGGGGAGGTGCTGTCCTGGGGGGCCCGAAATTGGTAAAAGCTGGAGGTGCTGCCCTGGGAGCCAGTAATGGTAAAGCTGGAGGTGCTGTCCGGGGAAACATTTAATTTGGTGAAGTGGAGGCCCTGTCCTGGGGGGGACAGTAATGGTGAAGCGGGAGGTGCTGTCCTGGGAGCAGTAAGGTAAAGTGGAGGTGCTGTCCTGGGAGGAAAAGTAATGGTGAGTGGAGGTGCTGTCCTGGGGAGACGGGAAATGGTAAAGTGGGGGGCTGCCCCTGGGAGACAGTAATGGGGGGAAGTGGGGGGGTGTGTCCTGGGAACAGTAAAGGGGGAAGTACTGGAGGGTTTGGCCCCGGGGAAAGGAACGGTAATGGTAAAGTGGGGGGTGCTCCCCTGGGAGACAGTAATGGTTGAAGCTGGAGGTGTGCCTGGAGCCAAAATGGGGGAAAAGGTGGAGGGGGCTGCCCTGGGAGACGGGAAATGGTGAAGCTGGGGGGTGCTGCCCGGAAGCAGTAAGGGTTGAAGCGGGAGGTGCTGTCCTGGGAAAACAGTAATGGTGAAGTGGAGGTGCTTTTCCGGGGAGCCCGTAATGGGGGAAGCTGGAGGTGCTGTCCGGGGAAAGACAGTAATGGTAAAAAGCTGGAGGTGCTGTCCGGGGGAAGACATTTAATGGTGAAGCGGGAAAAAGGTGGTGTCCTGGGCGACTTAATGGTGAAGCTGGAGGTGCTGCCCCTGGGACAGTAATTTTGGAAGCGGGAAAGGTGCTGTTTTGGGAGGACAGAAAGGGTGAAGGGGAAAGGGGGCCTGCCCTGGGAGACGTAATGGGGGGAAGGGGAGGTGCTGCCCCCGGGGAAAACAGTAAGGGTTTGGGGAAGCGGAGGGGGCTGTCCTGGGAGAAAAGTTTTGGGTTTGGAAGCTGGGGTTTGCTGTCAGGGAGGACAGTAATGGTAAAAGTGGAAAGGTGCTGCCCTGGGAAAACAGTAATGGTGAAGTGGGGGGTGTGCCCTGGGAGACAGTGGGGGTTTAAGTGGGGGTTTTGCTTTCTGGGTGTAAAAGAAAATGGTGAAGGGGAAAGGTGTGTCCTGGGGGGGCCCAAGAAAAGGGTTTTAAAAAGGGGAAGGGGTGTCCTGGGAGACAAAAAAGGGGTTAAAGGGTGGGGGGTGCTGCCCGGGGAAAAGAAAGAAAGGGTTTAAAGCTGGAGGTGTGCCCTGGGAGCAGTAATGGTAAAGGGTTTGGAGGTGCTGTCCTGGGAGCCCATTTAATGGTGAAGCTGGAGGTGCTGCCCTAGGAGACAAAAAAGGGAAAAGGGGGGAAAGGGTGCTTTTTTGGGGGGACGAAATGGTAAAGGGCTGGAGGTGCTGCCCTGGAGACAGTAATGGTAAAAGCTGGAGGTGCTGTCCTGGGAGAAGTAATGGTAAAAAGCTGGGGGTTCCCTGTCCTGGGAGACAGAAATGGGATTTTGAAGGGGAAAGGGTGCTGCCCTGGGAGCCCGTAATGGTGGTTTGGGAGGTGCTGCCCTTTGGGGACAGAAAAGGGTAAAAGCTGGGGTGCTGCCCTGGGAGAAGTAATGGGAAGCGGGAAAGGTGTGTCCTGGGGACAGTAAATGGGGGAAGTGGAGGTGTGTCCTGGGAGACATTTAATGGTGAAGTGGGGGGGTGCTGTCCTGGGAGACAGAAATGGGGAAGCTGGGGTTTGCTGTCCGGGGGGAGACAAAAATTGGTAAAAGCTGGAGGGTTGCTGTCCTGGGGGAACGAAATGGGGACGGAAAAGCTGGAGGTGCTGTCCGGGGAGGACTTTAATGCTGGCGGGAAAGGTGCTGCCCCGGGGGAGAC